AGGAGGAGGAGGAGGAGCAGATGTAGGAGGAGGAGGAGGAGAAGCAGATATAGGAGGAGGAGGAGGAGGAGGAGGAGSAGRWRGAGGAGGAGGAGGAGSAGRWRGAGGAGGAGGAGKAGSAGGAGSAGGAGGAGGAGSAGSAGRWRKAGGAGGAGGAGGAGGAGAAGGAGGAGCAGATATAGTAGGAGGAGGAGGAGTAGGAGGAGCAGATATAGGAGGAGGAGGAGGAGGAGCAGATATAGGAGGAGGAGGAGGAGGAGGAGGAGGAGAAATACAAAAGCGCTCAGGATTAACAAATTGAGCCTTTCTGACAGGAGCAAGTTGAAGAAGATGCCGCAGCGAATGTCTCAATCATTCGTCGTTTGAACGCCCTGTCGGAGATATCAATTTGTCAAGGAGGGTTGAATGTATCGGGACCATTACCAGTTCCAGATACACTTAGAATGCCTCAGTGAAGGTCGAAGAAATATACAGCAGCGAATGACGCAACAATCATTGGTTGAAGAAAGACTATCAATGGGGCGATACTCCACCCTGCACCATCAGTGAGACTGTAATTGATCCTGACCGTCAGGAAATATTACAGTCCTTTGTTATCCCCGCCTTCACCCGAATATAACGCCCGGTCACGACAGCTGTAATTGGGGCAACTTTCAGCCTAGATACAGCCATAATGACCGGGCGTTGTTATATTCGGGCGAAGACGGGTGGTGGAATCTCGCCCCCAGTCTTTCTGTTTTGTTTGATACATTCCTTCCTTCCTTCATCAAATAAAATAGCCTCCCGATCTTCTACAAAATCCCAAAACTCTCTCTCTCTCTCTCTCTCTCTCACACACACACACACACACACACAAATTGGGTTCAACCTCCTGGTGAGTGGGTGAAAGTCCGATGAAACAGTCTGGCACAGTCCGGTTTTTTTTTGTTTTTTTTTTTGTGGAGTTGTATATAGCAAATATGACGACACACTCACCCCCCCCCCTCCAACATACGCGCACACACACACACACACACACACACACACACACACACACACACACACACAGAGACACATCTTCTTCTCCTAGCTTGCTCCTTCTCCCTGTCCTTTCCTTCTTCCTCATGACGTCTGCTGTCATTAGACATCGAGGATCTTACCTCGGACCACTACCGTATCCATCTAACGGCAGAACTAGCTGGGGATGCACCGAACCGCGTTCAAGGCCACATGCAATCAGGAATATTCAAGATACATATGCGTCACAAACTGTTTTCTCTTCTTTTTTTTTTTGAACTGTTTTCGAATAACCAGACCAACTCAAAAAAGAGCTAAACGAATCTATCCAACACATCTATTCGAGTTATTATTCAATTATTTAGAATCTACAAGAAGACAGAATCGTTCTCTCGTGTTCGTTGAGCCGAGAGAAGGTTAGCATCTCCCTCGATAATGACGAGACTAGTCTATCTACGGACTGTATGAACACATACGGTTAAATTAGGCGACCCACCCTCTGGTGCATCCAACCCAATCGTTCTCTC